TAGAATTAGATATGTTAGTACTATCCTTTAGCCCTGCAGGGCTATCAACTACATCGTTTGGTTTAACGGAATCAAGATTAGCATTATTTAATAAAACAGGTTCATCAACTCTGGGCATAGGGGGCCCTTAATAGTTTGAATCACTCCTTAGAGTAATTGCAAATGCTTGATCTGTAGGCTGGGTCAGCTGTGCCGGCAGAGCTCCCTGTTGGCGGGCTTGTAGAGTAGCGGAAAGTTGCGCAATTTGATTATCTACAATTTCATTATGTGCTAGAATTTGATCAATTGTCGCATCTCTACTCTCCATGTGCTTTTGCATATTAACCAACATTGCTCTAATTTCCACCAGAGAGGAGTCGGAAGATGAGGAGGTTTGTTGTGGTTGGTTCTTCTGGCCAGCATTGGGATGATAATATTTCTGCTGCTGTTGTTGTGGCGCCTGTGGTTCTTGTGGTGGTGGATTTTGAACATTAGTACTCCGGTAGGAAAGGTACGGATGATTCCGATACCCAAGATTGTAGGTGTTGGAGTATGGGTTATTCTGCCTATAGGCTTGAAAGGCATTAACTTGCTCCACGGAACTCCTGCAATCTTGTTCCCAATGACCTATAATACCACAATTTTCACAGAAAGCCTCATTAGAATTATTATTAATCGCAGAAACATTAGCTACATTAGCAGAGCTAAGATTATCTAATTTTTGGCAAATAGAGGTCAGCTGAGCTTGTAAAAAGGATACAGAGTCAACACTATGTTTTCCCTTGTTAGCAAATCCTCTAGGATTCCCATATTGGGAATTGTGTATTGCCATATCTTCAATAACCTGACCTGCATCGTCAACATTAAGATTCATAAATCTCCCACTAGCTGCAGAGTCTAAAATTATTCGAGAAGAATTTCCAATGCCATTATAAAAGGCTTGGATTAACTGCCATTGTGCTAAATTATGGTGAGGGCATTCTCTTTGTAGGTCCTTGAACCTCTCCCAAACCTCATATAAAGATTCATCGGCTTCTTAGGCAAAGTTCTGAATCGCACTCCGTAGTACGGCTATTCTCTCTGCAAGATAATACTTGTTATAGAAGTTCAAAACAAGAGTTTCCCAGTCAGTTATACCAAGTGCAGTTCTATTTAAGCCATTAAACCACAATTTAGCTTTTCCAGTTAAAGAGAAAGGAAAGAGAATCTCCCTGATTTGGTCTTGAGTGACCCCGGCTTGCCTGATGGTGTTACAATATTGACAATAGTCAGCAATGTGAAGATTTGGGTCTTCACCCTTGGCTCCACTGTATTGCTTCCTCTCTATCATCGTTATAAATTGAGGCTTAATTTCAAATTGAACCCCGTCAAGAGCCGAAGTAGGGGTGAGATGTGGAAAGTCTGTAAGTTTGGGTTGTGAGTAATCACTAAGCTTCTTTGGAGCCGTCATCTCTGATTCTGAGTCTGATGATGTCTCTGAATTGCTAGAACCAGTCGGAGGATCGCGGTGATTATTGTTATTATCACCAGAATCCGCAAGGATTTGCTTGTAGAGATTTTTCTGTCTATAGAAAGAACGTTCGATCTTAGGATCGAATGGGATGTAACCTGATCTGGAACACCTGGGCATAAACAAACACTAGAAGCAAATATGAGATTTGCCTCAGAGAACTAATGCTCTCTGAGACAAAAAGGAAATAACCTAGACTACAAAAATAATTAGAAATAAAAATAAAACCGTTTCCCCGACAACGACGCCAAATTTTGACAGGGTAAAGTCGTATCCCCTAATAAAAAATAATTACCTAAGTCCTCTAACTAAAGCAGATAGGGAAGTAGGGTCGATCTCCACAGGGAAACAAGTCTTTCTATTCCTAATTAACTAACATAATATAGATTATGAAGTAACCAATATTTATATTTGAGTAATAAACTAATCTACGAAGAACGAGAATAGGGAGAAAACAATATATAAAAGGATCTAGGGCATAGATTCACCAATAAATAATACTCCAGGGTAAAACATAATAATCAAACATTGACATTGCATAAATAACATGATTAACAGGCTCTCGCAATTTATTAATCAACATAGATCTAACAGGCTCTCGCAATTTACTAGATCTAAGTCCCTATTGAAAATAGTCTTTAATATCAAATTAACATCTGCTCGATTCATCAATTCAATATTGCTATACTTTTACAAGTCGTAATTGTAAAACGTTAAAACAATTCAATAAGAAATTATCATGCAATACCAATAATCAATAATAGTCAATCATCAATGCATCAATTAACCAGATTGTAAAGGGCTTTCGCTACATATTACAATCACACAATTAATTTACCGGTATTAAATCTCATTTCTCGAATCTCGACTTAACCATTTATAAATTGACCTGCCTATTGAAACTAGACCTAAACATCAATTCTCATCTCTCGAATCTCGAATCAATGTTGTCAAACTCATGCATAAAAGATCAGGCCTAATCTAGTCACAGAGCATTAAATCAATCAATAGGAAATTAATCTAGCATTGACAATTAACAACAATAAATTACCCTTCATATTATTTAAGGATCCCCATAAACCCTAGAAATAGAACTACTCACACATATTAAAAACTAAACTAATCAAAGCAATAAAACAAGTCATGATGGAAGGAATAAAATAAACAACTAAGATTAAGAGAAGAGAAATCGTTACCAAACAAATCTGGAATTAAGAGTAGAATTAAGAACAAAGGTTTAACAGAGAATTTAAGAGAGAGAAAATATTCTAAGTAGAGAGAGAAAGTCTAAGAAAGAAGGTAAATCCAAAATTATGTACAAATCTCGTACTTAAACGTTCCCTAAAATAAAAATTAAAACTAAACTAATCAGGTCCTATAGAAACACGCGCCCGATCGGCGAAGGGCCGCCCGAACGGGCCCGCCTTTTTCTTTCCGCTCCTTCTCAGCAGCATCGCCCGATCGTGCTAGACGCTTGCACGATCGGGCGCGCTATAAGCCACGCACAACACTAAGCATGCCGCGCCCGATCGTGCTAACACTTGCCCGATCGGGCCCTTGCTTCACTTTGAGGCTCGGATTTCGATTGGGCTTGATTTCTCGGCCCAATCCGGATTTCCTCTTCGGGTCTTGAATACTTGGTCCAAATACCTCGGAATCCCAATTACCGAGCCCTTAATCACCGGCTCGATGACTCTAACCGGCCCTGGGCTATAAAATCTGGTCGTGTTTCTCCAATGCTCGTGATTGCTCCAAGATAACTCGGGAAAATACTCCAAAAGCATAAATCCCTGCAAAAGTCAACCAAATCTACGAAAACACTATAAAACACCAATTAGTAATAAAAGTGGCTCTAAAGAGCCAAAAACACTACTAATTATGACCAAGGGATGGGGGTAAAATACTATATAAAATAGACACATTAGGACTACACTTGGTATGAAGGACACGTGTTATAAAATATTATATTATATACATATACTTTTTTATATTATAAAAAATATTATATTATATACACATACTATTATAGTTAAAAGTATTATTATGTATAAAACAACATAAATTATTGCACATGATTGTTGTATATTTATTATAGTACATGAGCAATGCACGATTTTTAAATCAAAATGTTAGTTTTTCTAAAAAAAATTCATAAGTAATAGCATTGTTAATACGAATATTACAATTTAAAACACGAGTAATAGTTACAATTTATATCTATCCCTTTTCCGTCAAATGTCTAATTCAATTTAACTTTTATTCTTCTTGATTAGATTGGTTATTGGTTCATTTTTTTTAATTTTATATATATATATATATATATATATATATATTTTATGCAAGAAAAACAAAAGGTCATTGCAAAAGACATTGTATAGAAAAGGAAAGGCCGATTAAAATTAAATTTATGTTCAAGATTACGTATTTTTTTCCAAGACAACATTTCGGCTCAGCATTCAGTATTTGTCAAGGAGTACAACAAACGATAAAAGTAATTTTTACACTATTTTGTATCTTTATCAAAAAAATTTGTATTCATCCGATTACTTGAATTGAATTTAGGATAACTTGTAGACTATTTTGGGAAAGTATAAATAAAGATTGGAAAGACTTTATGGATTATTTGTAGTATTGGAAAGTATATATTTATTATAAAAAAATTTAAATCAATATTTATGTTGGGAAATCATGAAAATCTTATACATGTATAGAAACTTGCTTTTATTGTTTGAAGTTTAACAAAAATAACTATGCTTGAATATGTAAACAGTAATTATATAGATATATTTTATACATAAGATAAGCCAATGAGAGAGTGACATTTGTCATCCTCACATTGAGGCGCTTGTCTTTTAGTCTAATAAGATAGATTACTCCCGGAAAAATTAAAATTTGGAAATCCCTTTAACCGTTTAAGTACCTTTTGATTCTATTTAACCAACTAATACTATCATTGCTTCATCCTCATGTGTTGATCTCAATATTTTCCCAAATCTATCTTTTAAGATTGTAACTAACTGTTAAAATAAATACTCGTATCATTGATAATTTGACATATACCATATTAAAAAGCATTATCTCTTGATCAAATCCAACGTACTCTATAAAAATCTGTTTAAAGCATTATATCTCTTTATCAAATCCAGCGTATTCTATCAAAGATAATTAAAAAGAGCTAAGATTTCCACGAATTAACTCATAATAGCGGCCAAATACAATGGGAATCTTTTTGCCATAACGTTGTAGGTTGAAGACTGTACATCTTATTTACCACAATTTTCATTCTCCAAAAATCTTGGGGAAACAAAATAAAAAACCAAAAATATTAAAAGCTGAAATTTGGAAAGCCTAAAAAAAACGTTTAAATTTCCTTTTTAATTAAACTTAACTAACCATTTCCAAGATATCAGTCAATTCAAATTTAATTACTATCAATACATGTTAATACTAGCTAGTATTAATATTCAAACAAATTATTTTCTTCTTCCCTTAAAAATTGTAAAGTTTCTCAATGACTTCTACAAATCTTGATCTTTATGTTGATGAAGCTTATCTTTTAGCTTTGATCAATGAAGAACCGATTCCAATATCGGATGAGAAATATGCAGAAGAATTACACCTTCAAGAAGCTCTTTACTCATCTTCATCAAATCCTTCAACTCAAGAAAATCCCCTTTTTAAAATCCCAAAAACAGAGGATGTTCTTTACTCATTTTCATCACTTCCTTCAATTCATGAAAATTTCCTGTTTAAAATCCCAAAAACAGAGGATGAAGAACAGAGCATTTTAGAAAACAGAGAAAGAGGTGAATCATCTGAAACTAAGCTCGTTTTCTGTGGAATTTGTATGGATTACAAACCAAAGACAGAAATTTTCAATGGTTTAAACATTTGCAATCATAAATTTTGCACTGATTGTATAATCAAATACGTGGCGTCGAAGATTAGGGAAAATCATGAAATGGTGAATTGTCCTGATCCTAAATGTAATCAAGCAATAGAACCAGAAAATTGCAGTGCAATTTTACCTAAAGAAGTGTTTGTAAGGTGGGAAAATGTTTTATTTGAAGTAATGATTCCTGGGGGGCAGAAATTTTACTGTCCATATAAAAATTGCTCTGTTTTAATGGTGGATGATGGTGGGGTGGAGGTGAGGGAATCGGAGTGTCCGAGTTGCCGGAGATTGTTTTGTGCACGGTGTCAAGTGCCGTGGCACGACGGCTTAAGCTGCGAAGAGTTTCTTGAGCTGGGGAAAGATGAGAGGGAGAGAGAGGATATAATGGTGATGAAGCTTGCTAAGGATAAGTCATGGAAGAGATGCCCTAATTGTAAGATTTTTGTTGAGAGGAGTGATGGTTGTGTTCATATGACTTGCAGGTTAGTTTTCTAATTTTAAATACTAATAAAATTTCTAATTTCATTCCTTATAATTTATAAATAATAAATAGGAATAAATTATTCAAATGTAATCTATGACAAATTAATAATTTCGGTAAAACCTACTTATTACTTACTTAACTTACTTCGGTACTTAATTATTCATATAAAATTACTTCATTTATCCCGTAGTCATGTATGCGCTTCAACTTTTTATTTTGATTATAATATTGCATTATTGGAGATTCATTTCACCGAAGATCCATCTAAAAGGCAATAAAGGAGATGAATATCGTTATTTTTATACAATTCCCTCTTATCTCTAAATTACATTACGTAGGCCTTATATAAGAAGTATTAATTTAACTATTTTTTTTTTTAAAATTTTTATCCAGGTGTCACTATGAATTTTGCTATCAATGTGGAGATAAGTGGAGTAGTACCCATGTTCATGCATAATGAGGAGGAATAAGACTATCTGTGAACTCTAATTTCTACTACAGACACAGTTTGATTGGAGAATCTAAGTTCTATTTCCAAATTTTCAAGAGTTGTTTAACATTTGATATACTCATTTAGTCTTGAAAATTACTTTTCTATGCAACTTTATGTAGTATGCAAATGTTGTAGTTTATTTGTTTGATCCACTTTTGAGGATTCTAGATCATACTTGGTTAACATTTGATATTCGATCTACTCTTAATGATTTTAAATTCTATTGCCCAAAATTTCTAGAGCTTGTATGGCTTTACCAGGCCTACTTGGTCTTTTTTTAGTTGATATGGTGTGAATTATCCAATGGATAGGCATTGGCACTATGTCAAAATGCCTCTTTTCATTTTTGGTTTACAACTAGATAATGCTCAAGCCATGCTCAATTTTTAAAATTAATAAACAGTGATGGAAACATCAGTAATCAATAAACATATATATACTAAAGGCGAAACCAGGAATGACACTTGTCATTTCTTGGAAAACCCACATTTTTTTCTCTTTCCTTCTTAATTTTTTTGCCATATTTTAATGACATCTACATATTTTATAACCTATAATAATAGTTATTTCCATTTTGACAACATATTTAATCCAATATTACTCAATTAAATTTTTTACATATATTCTATATATACTAGGAAACTTTTAATTACAAAAATACTAACATAGATTAAAAAAATAAGGTATTAGAATATATTGTTTTCCAAGATAATTATAATATTATCAATATCAATTTTTTAAAAAAAAAATCATTTTGGTAGCATACTTTGTACGGAGTATTAATCTGAAAACTATACATAACGTTTATAAGAACAAAATAATTTTGTTATAGTATACTTCATACATAACATATATTGGAAATCATCAATCAATAAACATATACTAAAGGCGAAACCAGGAATGACACTTGTCATTTCTTGGTTAAAAATTTTCCCGCCTTTTTTTCCCTTTCCTTTTTAATTTTTTTGTCATATTTTAATGACATCTATATATTTTATAACCTATAATAATAGTTATTTCCATTTTGACAACATATTTAATCCAATATTACACAATTAAATTTTTTACATATATTCTATATATATTAGGAAACTTTTAATTACAAAAATACTAACATAGATTTTAAAAAATAAGGTATTGGAATATATTGTTTTCCAAGATAATTATAATATTATCAATATCATTTTTTTTTTTTAAAAAATCATTTTGGTAGCATACTTTGTACGGAGTATTAATCTTAAAACTATACATAATGTTTATGAGAACAAAATAAATTTTGTTATAGTATACTTCGTACATAACATATATTGGAAAATTAAAACTTAATTATTTTTAAAAAAATCCTACTATTCACTAAAAATATATTTAATAAGTTGATTACGGAATACTAATTATCCTAAAGTAAAATGAACTCAAATAAATTTTCATATAATGTCGATCAAATTGTGTCAAAAATTTAAGAAAAAATGTATATGAGTTCGTATATGGGTACTAACCTAATTACCTAAGCAAATAATTTAATTTTCTTATATAAAACCTTATATCATCTAAGTTTCTATTACTATATTATTATTTTTTTATAAAATCCAATTCAATAATCTTTACATTTAATTTAAGTTATTTTGTTACAAGTAATTTTTTTTGAGAAATTATTGTTGAATTAACACCATATTTTTTATTTATATATTGTAAACTTTAATTATGACCGTGCATGGCACGGGACTTAACCTAGAATAAGTCTATATATAAATATAAATCAATAGTCAACCATAAATAAGTAGTGAAGTTTGAAGATAAATTAATGATATTGTTAAAAAAGAAAGATTGAGTTATTAGGTTGTAATTTTTCTAGTAGTCAACCGTAAATAAGTAGTGAAGTTTGAAGATAATTTTTTAACAGGGAAAAAAATACTCCACTTTATTATAGGTACATAGATTGTAATTTTTTTTTATTAATTAGCATTTTAAAAATATATATTTTAGGTTATCAGGTTGGTGTAAAAAAAAGGTTATCAGGTAAAAGTTATAACCTTCCCAAAAAAAAAAAAAAAAAAAAAAGTTATAGCCATTAATTAGCATTTTAAAAATACTCGATCGCTCTCCATCCAACCCTTTATGTGAACAATGCCCTCCCAACTCACACTCACGTGTGTATAAAGCAATGAACGCTCAACCCTAATAGTCGACTCAAAATATGTCAAATCATAACTTGCATTGATAAACAACACTTTCGCATTCATACAATTCTATGAACAAAGGTCGGAAGGTCTTTAAAGCTTGTAATGTAAGGCTAGGGTAAAGGGTAGGAATCATTTGAGAACAAGTGAGAGAAAAACTATGCTTAAGGGAGCAAATCCTATCAAAACCCATGATCAAAATAAATTATGATCAACATCTCCTACATAACCAACTCTAACATCAACCAAATATACTCCAATCATAATAAACAATCCCAACACTTACAATTTCACTCATAAAAATATAATAATGAAGAAATAGAATGAATAAAAAAACTTTATTTTCCAAACTTGAATTTTTCATTGAGGCTCAAAATTATTTTTCTTTGATCAACCTCTAACTAGAACATTTGAACATTTTTTTTTCTTTTGAAGTTCACTTATTTTTTCAACATATTTTTTTTCTTTGAACTTCTCTCTTTTTTTTCATAATATCATGCTTTATTTTTTTTTTTTAAGAAAATATAACTCTCAAACTCATCAAAAATAAACATGATCAACAACAAAACAACTTCTCAAAACCCACCCAAATTGTGCAAATAATAAGCACACTACAAACTCCCTCACCTCACTCACTAATAGCTCCCCCAAGCCAAGCTTGGGACTAGTAACCAATGGGGAAAAATAGGCTTGTAATATGGCTAATAAAACAACAAAAGGTCAAGGCAACAACATGGGTAGCAAGAAGGGAACAAATGTATTTACAATATCTGGAGGCTACCTAAAAGAACAAACGCCTTCGTCCTCCAAAATGTGCATAATAACGAATCATATAAATATTACTAATAGTTGCGAACCAATACTCAAATTCATTGACATACCAGGAACTATGGAACTATCACACATTCCTTAACCAAATCAACTAGTCAAGCACTATATTCACAAGAAGTTGGACAAAATTGACGCATGTTAAGGTTTCAAGGCAATCAAACATCAAATCATGATCAACTAATCCACAATTCCTATCATCAAATACCAAGAATCAAAACAATTTTCTCAAGTAAGGGGCACAGGGAAGCATAATTTACAATTCAATGGAACGTATTTTTGGATTTTTTATTTTTCAATTTTTTTGTATTTTTCATATATAAGAAAGCAATAAAAAACTACACTAGGAAAGCAATAAAAACTATACTAGAAAGCAAATAAAAAGAGAAAAGGAAGAGAATTACCAAGCGAAAGATCACCCCCCAAGCCAAATCAAGCAATGCCCTCATTGACTTGGGAGTGTAGCCTACTCCTCATCCTCATCCATCCTCGAATATCCCCCTCCGTGGCTATAACCGGCTCCTCCATGGCTAGAGCCACCACCACCATAACCCGAACCACCTGCAAAGTAGTTAGGGTCCACATTACCCCCAAGCCCACCAAAAGGTACATCGGTCCCATAACCATGGACCGATGAGTAGTCTACATAGGTACCATAGGCACTTGGGTTCGTATATCCACCTTGCGGATATTGGAACCAATTGGGAACAAGTGAATCGGGGGGAATAGCCCCCCGACGGGCATAATCATCATACACGGGGTATAAACCCCTCCCTAGGTTCCTCTCCACATACCCCACCCGACTATCTAGAGACCCTAATCTAGTGTCCAAGTTCCTAACCATACCCTCAATTCTCCCTTGCCCCATCTCAATCCTATCTAATTGGCTCCTAAAAGCCAAAAAGTCATAAAGGGCGTTGGGGTCAATGTTGTAGTTGGTTGAGGAAGTGGGAATATCATATGTAAAGGGTGGAGGTGGTGGGTAGTGTGGTGAATGGTGATGAGGTGAGTGTTCTATGGGAGATTGGTGGGGTTGAGGTGAAGGGTGAGGTGGTTGAACCTCACCTTGACCGTTAATCTCGAAAGTGTAAGAAGGCTTCCCCTTCTCAAATTTGGTCAAGGTGGGGTTGGGTAAAGTGAAAGCATTATCCCTCCTACCCGATTCCCGTTGAATCACCCACAAAGTCTCACCTCCCATGACATTAATCCAATTAAGGCCACCTAAATAGGGTAGATCCATAATAGTTGGGCCGGCTACCTTACTGTCATTGTTAGGGACAAAGTTAAGGTGCTTGACTGCTACGTGTGTTACTAGGCCACCAAAACAAATGGGTACCCTAGACCTACCCGCCTCGACCGCATTGGCCACCCGTTGGAAGGGATTGGCCATTTTGTGGACTATGTTGAGCTTTTCGCTCCTAGGGATCATGTATGACCCTAGCAATTCAAGCTCATCCCGCCTAACATTGGCGGGTTCATGCCTTCCAAAAATGGTATGGCCAACAAACCGTTGCCAAAACTTTGGCACGGGATGTTGTATCCAAGTGCCCTTGGCATGTTGGAGGTTCAAATTAGGATCCCCCGTAAGGGATTGATAGACAATGGCAATGTTGTCTTGGGGAGGTTCAATTGGCCTATCCGATTTTAACTCAAAAAGTTTGCCAAATTATTTCAATGTCAATCTAACATCATTATTAATTAATCTAAATTGAACATGAGAAATTAAAGCATTAGATTTTATGACATTAAAACTAGAAACGAATTCTAAGGTTAAGTAATCATAAGTATCGTAATGCATGTTAAAAAAACCACTCATGCCAATTCCCTTGAACAACTTTTCTACATGCTTATCAATTCCTAATCTAATAAGGGTGGGGTGATGAACAAAACTAGTAGGAATTACCTGCCTCGAAGTGAGGTTGATCATCCTTTGTTTTTGCTCTTGGGTGGTGATGACCACCCTCTCCCATCCAAGAACTTGCAAATCCGGGTCAATTCTGGCCTCTTGTTGCCTTGAGCTTTCCCCCCTTACAGTTCTTGATCTATTGAGATCCATTTGTGATTAGAAAAGATAGGAATTGAAGACTTTCTCTCTCTTAGGGTTTAGAGAAAATTGAGAGAAAGTGGTAGAAATTAGGTGTAGATTGTAGAGAAAGATGAAAGGATTAAAAATATGCAAAAATTTTTGAGTTTTGATGAAAGGATTGGAGAAGATCTTGAAAATAAGGGAGTTTGAAGGTGTAAAAATGGAGGTTTTAGAGAGAGAAAGTAATGGTGAAGAAGATGAAAGAAAAAGAAAGTAAGGAAAGAACGAAGGGGAAAGGATATAGAGGACGGCCAAATAAGGCGCGCCCGATCGGGCAAGCCTCGCCCGATCGGGCGAATTATGCTGATTTCAAAAAGCTCGGTTGCGCGCCCCATCGGGCGAGCTCCGCCCGATCGGGCGCGAATACGAAAGAAATTTTCGCCCTTTCACTCGCTCGGTCGGGTGAGCTTCGCCCGACATTTCTTTTCCTTCACTCGATTTGCGCCCGATCGGGCGAAATAAGCTCGAGTTTCTAACTTCACTTGCACGCCCGATCGGGCAACCTCGCCCGATCGGACTAATTTAG